TATATATATGAATGGGGATTTGATGATTTATATGCTGATGTAATTAAATTTATTATATTCTTATAGAAACTGACTGTGAATGTATTTAAATTTGGATCTAATTTTTTTTGCACAATTCCAAGGGATTACTTCTGTTGTTATGTTGTGCACACATTTTATGTGTCTCTTTTTTGGTTTATCATAATAAAAATATGTATGACATTAACTCAAAAGGAGTAATAAAATGAGAAGTTAAAATAGAAGTGATGGAGAGGAAATTTGCCTTTTTTTTAATACTTCCTTGGAATTCGTTCCTTTTTTGAAGTGGAACATTCCTCACGTGCAGCCATGTGAAAATCCATCACTGCAGAGACATGAGAACTGCCTGGAAAACAGGCAACATTTTAACATTCATTTTAAATACATCTGCTTTAATTGTGTAATAGGTGTATCAATCTCTAGCTTTAGATTTTTTTTTCTATTTAATTTTAAAACACATGTAATTATTATAATGTGTTGCTTTTCACGCCTGGATAAAAGAGCAAAGAGTAAAGTCCCATCTCGAATTATTTTTCCTTTTCCCTTTTTCTTCTTTTTTATGTGTTCCTTTTAAGATGATCAAACAGGGGTCAAACATCCAAGTATGGAAGAAAGAAAAGCTGCGTTAGATGGTGGAAGTCTCAGGTTCTGCAGCTCTGCCCCTCAGCTGCAGCGCAGATTAAAATAATAATAATAATAGTAAAAAAAAACACAGTCAGAGGGAGCGCTGCTCGCCGGAGGCATTTCACTCCTTCTCCCTTTAAACATCCTTTTTAAGACACAAAGTCCCCGCGGAGGGCAGAGCTTTCCGCTTTAATAAATTATTTAAGCATTTAAACGGTGAGCTCGGCAGATAGCAGCATCACAGCATCATTCTCCACACTGCAGCCTGAAAGTCCCGCATCAGGATCTGTTACCAAAACAAATGACGCCTGCAAGGACACTTACAGCCGATCAACTGGAGAAATAAAAACAAAAATACATTTTAATTCCAGCCTTTTTTGTTTTTTATGATAACTATTAGTTTGCTGATTTATGGAAAGAGTTCGATGCAAAAAACGCAAATAAATAAAAAATAATACAAAAACCTCATTGTTTTTTAATTTGAAGTTCTTTCTAATGATAGAAGTGACATTCATTTAGTCACGGTTATTCTTGCACGTTGTAATTATTTTGTTTAAATATAACCAAACCTGGATGTTTCATCTTCTTTTCCCTGCAAACTTTTCTCGCCCTGCTGACAGCAGGTCTCAGTCCGCTGCTGGGATACATCCAACTTCAGCCGCTTGGAAATCTGTCAGCAGAGAGGGGACAGGCTTTATGGACTGGTCTCAGACACCTCGTGCGTCCGTTCCCCTCCCCAGTCCAGTCCAGTCCAGTCCAGTCCAGTCCAGTCCAGTCCAGTCCAGTCCGGCAGCAGCACCTCTGACTCTGGCCTTCCCAAACAGACAGATGCGTTCATGGCCTGCCTGGGTTTATAAATCTAAAGCAAAATTCAAATCTGTCTGAAGAGAGAGAGCTGTGTGTGTGTGTGTGTGTGTGTGTGTGTGTGTGTGTGTGTGTGTGTGTGTGTGTGTGTGTGTGTGTGTGTGTGTGTG